GTTTCCCACTCCAAGTTCCCGGGGCTTAGGTTACCGGTTTCCATGACGGAACAGCAGGTCTTCGTGACTATATGGTTTACCCCGTCTACTGTTTATCACGCAAATGATTTTGATAACAAAATTGAATAAATGTATACATTTACAGTCCAAACCCTCATTTAACTTAGTCAGTCACACTTGGGGAAAAAGAACGCCAAGGAGTTTTGTTCTCTTTATAGCTCAGCAACAGAACACATCTACCGACCCTAGGATGAAAGGCTTTTGTGATCGCTGTGCTAAATAAACAGTTCGTATAGAAGTTGACCGAAATTGCCAATTCAAGTTTGTATGGATGTCATCTTGAGTGGCACCCGTTCAGTTTATTTAACCCAACAGCGATGAAAAGAGAGACAGCAAACTTTCTGCTATCTCCAGGCAAAAGCGTTTCGGTAATTCATGTTGTCAGCACAGAATTGGGGAAATGTACCAAGATGAAATATCCTGGAAACACAAAACCCTTCTACGAAAGTGGCTCGGATTTCAAGTTCCATAAGGGCAGTTGAGTAACTGATTAACTCCGATGGGACTGGAACTGGACTCTGAGGAGCTTTCCCATTGAACGGTTGAGAGAGTGAATTGAAAACTTTTTGTGGAACCGCATAATCATCATTCAGAAAGATTAGTGTAGAATTAATTCAGGCTTTGAATTCTTCAACTAACCAAAGTCATTTTGCTGATATTCGCTTACTCTGTTCATGTACAGAATGGAAGTTTCCCGATCGGATTGAGGTGCAACAACAACAACATCAATAGGCGATCGCTTTCCGCGAAACCAAAAATCAAGTTGAGCCACTGCTCTATTCTACTTTCGGAACTGGTTTGTTAGCCATATCTGGGAACCGATAGTTCTCGTTCAGAAAAGAACTAGTAAGAAATCATTGGATTTTAGGCCGGAGAAGTGAATAAATTTCAATGAACGGCGAGATAAGGATAGGTGCTCGGGATTTTTTATATGTGATAGTTGTTTAGGACGTTTGCGACCTATCAACAGTCAAATAGGTGTGCAGCAACCTGCAATGTCGAAGACTGTGGTGGAAATACTATTAAGTATACGAATTTTTGTTTCTAGATTTATTATAAACAAGTAAACCATATTCACGGAAGAAGGAACTGCCTGAATAATACTCCAATCGCCATTTTGTGGGGAAATACAGTAAAATAAACCACACTGATCCCGGTCAAGTATGAAGCCACGTGTACCACGTGTGAAGCATAAGTGCGAATATATAAGGTTTGTGTGGGGCGGGCCTGTTTGAGAAAGGAGAAAGGAAATAGAATCAATTGGGTAGACTCAAAACGTTATTCCGTGTAACTGCGCACGCATATACATTTGTTATCGTTACATATTAGGAACTGACTACAAGAAAGCGACTTTTGTCAAATTGTTGTTATATTCTCCAACCACTGTGCCCACAGCCTTATTCTCACTGATCTCTATCTCCACATCCCTGGTTTTCCCAATGTTTGGTGACATCCACATAGCTTTTTACATCCGAAAGTGGGCATTCCAAAGGAGGCCTTGCGATTTTTATATCCATAGTTCTTTTTCTATCTACTGGAGCCTACTAATAGAAGTTCACTGCAACAAAGAATTGTTGCGCTGCTACACCCCGTACTACGCGATAGTTGATCTCGATGATCGAGAGTCACTAACTCCATGTCACTTGTATCAAAGATCCACAACAGAAGTATACAAGTGATAAGGACCCCTACCTTATCACCCGAGATGTGTCCGGATCAAGCCATCACTTCCACCTACTTTCTCCATCTCTCAACGAATCACATAGTGTCAACTTGAATGGCCTTTTCTATTCTCGAGAATATATGATATATGTATTCCATGAAAAAGGACCAAAATAATTGAAAAAATAAAAGGAAACAATACATGGAATCGCGTTCCACACTCGTAATCATGATCCCACAATTTAGATCTTAACGAATTGTATTGCTGTACATTTCA